TTGATAGACTTGATAGAGCGTCTGTCATAAAGGGAACTTGGAAAACTGGAAGCGCAAATCCATAGCAACCACTCAGGCATAGGGAAAATATAAGCAACTGGGCACCGGATGCACTGCCCATACCCACCGACTTAACTGCAATACTAATGCGACGACGTTTCCCGAAGCTCCCGATCGATAGCCGATGAACACGGATCAAATGAATGTCTAATCAGCATACGCGTGAGCGCCGGCCGAACACATCGCATTATCGATCAGTAGTACAGTAACGGTCTGATCGTCATTAACTATCTGTCTGACATCGTGCGGTGAGCCCATCGCTAATGAGTTGTCATCAAATATTACCTGTCAGCATATGTGTTTGCGGTCCAAAACATTGGCTTCGCTCACAGATTTCAAGTTAACTGGAATAGCTAACATAAGGCTTTAACGGCCTCGCAAATTATGGCCTAAATTCGTCAACATATTTGTAACTCACCACATTCAAATAAGGGTACGGCTTCAAGTTTCAGAGAAAGGACGAGAAAGTAGGACATTTTCATGCACACATACCCAAGTACTTCAGCTTTTCATGTTCAGTTTGATCGTATCTCTTTAACTAGTGCCATCGCAAGCAGTCCGTTCTGAGAAAGAGCAGGTGTCTGAATAAATCTTTCTATTGGTGAATCCAGAAAATTTCGATTTCTATGTCTAAAACAGTTTTTAGCTTCTTGAGCCCATAAACGTTAAACGTAAACGTCGAAAGCAAAATTAAATGAACAAATACTGCCATCTAACGCATTCAGAGCGCTTCAATCCAAGGAAACCTTGATATTAACTTTCCGTCGCTTTTGTGAATACGATCTTTTACGATCTTCTTTACATGTGTCTGGCATCGGTTTAATCTTTCAAATAGGAAAATTTTTTCAAGTTTCATAAACACGCAATTTTGGGAGGTCGCCATAGTTGACGAACTGCGAACCCGATGACTCTTACAACAATCAGTCAAATTTTCAAAATGCATTTCAGCGTTGACCGAAAATACGCCGTTGAAAGTTTGCTTAATTATGCACATTTAATCTGTTTTACGTCAAGGTGTTAATTGGGTCGACCTATCTGGTCCCGAAATTATTGGATGACAGCGAAAGTCTGCAACGCCCGTTTGCTACTTTGGTCCAGCGTTCATATCCTACACTACTCTGGAAGTTACGCATCGTTATGCTGTTTGCATTACAAAAATCGCCGACATAATTCGGGCATTCCCTCGCGTAGTCATATTTCAGAAGTTCGAGATCTCATAAACCGAGAGAATCACTGTAAAATAACGAAATACTTTGATTTTAAGAGAATGGTAAATTGAGGTTATTAAAGGGGTTGCATTAAAATGGAGCGACAAGTGTGTTAATCCAGCTTCTTTCACAAGTTCTTGCATCTTGACTCCTGCATTGGAATCCTCCAAGATCACAAATTATATAAAGTTCGTGAATGCTTGCGGACGTGGCGCTGATCACTGTTGGCTTTATTATGTAGTGCAATGTCAACGGTTGAATGCAGTGTTAGTACTTTGCAGGATAACAAATGAGCTGCACGCGCACCTATCGATCGATTATGTCCCTCTGTGCCGTAGGTCACAGGTTGACCTTGAAGCCGTGGGGCATGAATTCACGGGCATGCGCGGAAGGGCCAAATCCGAGTCAGAAGTGATACAGGATGACCCTGATGAAGATGACGACGAAGATGACGAATTCACCGACAACTCCGAAGATGACGATGACGATGAAGATAGTATACCTACCACTCCAGAGCTCTCTGATGGCGAAAACAAAGAACCATGGAGCACTTATTTGTGTAGCTGTTATGAAAGCTGTGGTAAGTCTGTATCCCTGCCTTCATTCAAGTAACTTTGCAATAGACCTCAAGTGCATTCTATTATTTAAGCCATAAATAAGTGAATTGGAGGCAGGTTAGTTCGCTAAGGCTATAGAATTATTCCTGAGCTTTTCGATTGCCTCAGAATTTGGAGTGAAAACCGGTAGTAAATTTCGGGTGTTGCCCGACAGTCCATATGAATAGTTGGACCTAAATCCGTCAGTGTCAGCTAAAGAACCGCACGTTATACACATTTTGTCCACAGGTGGTTAGCGGCATATAAATTTAATTAATTTACCACCCTCGCTGAACGTCTAGCTTACTGAAAGTCTAGACACAGGTTTCGCCAATTTTGTGCAGAAGACACATGGAGAACGCCGAGTGATCTACTGATAAGTCGACCTTTTCGTGGCTGCATTATTCAGCGGCACAAAATCGGCAAGACGTCTGTTTGAGCTTTAACTAAACTACCCGTTCATCAAGTATATTCAAATTATTTGGTCTTGTAGTGTAAATCGGAGAGGGTGGCACTGCTATTAACCAAACTACCTTTTATCTCTCGTACACCCGTTATTACCGATAAACCAGCTAGCTACGACTATTCGAGAATTTCTGAATAGATGAAAATGTTGAACAAATCGTGCTTCTGGGAATTAACGAAGTGGCTGCATTGTCATTAAGAAAAACGTCTGCAAAGAATTG